ATATGACTCTTACTGTGATGGCTCCCTGAGATATATTTGCAAGCTGGGGGAAAAAAAAGGAGCAGCCAGACAGATGAGTGGCAGGTGCCAATCCTACCTAGAATAAAACAAAACTGGCTGGTGTGAGGCTTAAATGCCTTTCCCAACAACTGCTTATTTCAAGGCTTTGTCTCCTCCGCTTCTCAGGGGTTTTTCTTTTGCCTCCATCACCACAGATTGCTCAGCACTTCTCAGCTCCCCACCCCCCCTTAAGTACCTGGAGACAAGAGGCAGCTGGGAGCAGGCAAGTGGAAGTTACAGCTTGACAAGAACCAAGAAATGCAACTGCTGTTATACCAAAAAGTAGTCATAGTTTGCAAGGCAGAAGGTGAGAATAAAACCTTGGCTTTTTTTCTTCTTCTTTTTTTAAGGCAAGAGTTTCTGATTCTGGTAAAAAGCAGTCTCTTAATATGCCAGTGTGCCAGTTTTTCCCCTCTCCTCTCTCTCTCTCTCTCTCTCTCACTCTCTCCCCCCCCCAATTTGAAGTAGTCAGGGAAAAGCGTTTTATTTTTAGTAAGGCAACGTGCTCCTTTTGTCCGCTTCAGCAGACACCGCTGCATCACAGTAAGGCGATCCCATTGCAGCCGCAACGTGAACCGCATAGTCAAACACAGGAAGTTCCTAGGCAATGTGAAAAAGCATTTACTGGGCTGTGAAGTCCTGACATGATGGTTATACATGTCAGGTTTCTAAAAAAGAAAAATATATTAAGAGGTGGGAGGAAAACACCAGGTACACTGTCATATAATGGGACTGCAGTTTCCATGTCAGAAGGGTAACTAAAACCAGCTTTGCAGGTAGAGGACAGGTGAGGTGAGGCTATACCTGCCATGCCCAAAGTAAAGCACACCTCAAGGCTAATAAATGCTTTGTGGGATTAGCTTTCATGGACAGCACCCTGCTACCTTGGCTGTACTAATGATTTTCTCTTTTTAAATATTGTCACAATGGTTCTACATGTATTTGCTGTTATGCATGGTTTAAGTTCGTTTGTTTTTAACTGGACAGTGCATTTTAGCAGTGTCTTGCATCCAATGTTATTTGTACATCGCTCAGAGAGCTTTTCGATCAAGCGGTTTATAAATCTAATAAACAAACAAGATGTTTTGTGCAGTTTCCCATGTAGCAACAAACTCTGTGGGACATTCTCAGTATCGTATTTCTGTGGCCAAAGGGGTGATCTCTCTCTCACTCTTCAGCTGTTTGCTACTGCAATGGAATCCCTGGCATGGGCTGCTAAAAGCTACCTCACTTCCCAAGAGCGAAAGGTGAGGATTCTTCCAGGGACCCGGCTGGGACCAGATGCAAACAGACTCTTCCCCTCCTGGAACTGCCTGCATTCCACCACAACAGTATATAATATACATACACAGAAAGGACAGTCTCTTGGCAGAGGATGTGGTCCTTTGTGTTAAGAATACTAATGCTTCCAGTCATGATGGATGATGAATGATTTAGCTCCATATGGCACAACTTCTGCCCATGAACTTAATGTCATGAAAGACAAAAGCAGGGATGTGGGTATTCTCTCTCTCTCTCTCTCTCTCTCTCTCTCACACACACACACACACACACACACACACACACAAACCACACAGAGTACATGGTCTCATGTCCAGGTATCCTGTTGTTCGTTTTGCTTTCTTTCTTCTAAACCAAGTTCCTTGCTATAACTGCAACTGCTGAGATTTGCATGGGTGACACCCCCACCCCACCCCACCCAAGTTTATGAGCAGGGGATGGGCAGGGCTTTTGTGTCCCCCCCCCCTTGCCTTGTCTGAGGCCAGCATATGAGATTGGCTGCAAACCAAAAAAATAATTGCAGGAGGGTTGGACAAACACACACATGCACTCCAAAAGTTGTACGGAAATGCCATTACATTAAGGCCATGCTTCAGTTGTTGCTGTTTACACAGCGAACAGATGCCCTTTCAGAATATGCTCCCCGAGGTGTGTGTGTGTGTGTGTGTGTGTGTGTGTGTGTGTAAAAACCCTTTGCAGCACAAGGTGTGTAGTTTTTCATATGGGTGCTTTCATTCAACACACACTGGTTTGTGAACTGCTGTTGTCCCAGGGATGACTGTGCCATCTTGGGTTAAAAGGTAAAGGTACCCCTGCCCGTACGGGCCAGTCTTGACAGACTCTAGGGTTGTGCGCCCATCTCACTTAAGAGGCCAGGGTCCAGCGCTGTCCGGAGACACTTCCGGGTCATGTGGCCAGCGTGACAAAGCTGCATCTGGCGAGCCAGAGCTGCACACGGAAACGCCGTTTACCTTCCCGCCAGTAAGCGGTCCCTATTTATCTACTTGCACCCGGGGGTGCTTTCGAACTGCTAGGTTGGCAGGCGCTGGGACCGAGCAACGGGAGAGCACCCCGCCGCGGGGATTCGAACCGCCGACCTTTCGATCGGCAAGCCCTAGGCGCTGAGGCTTTTACCCACAGCGCCACCCGCATCCCTCCATCTTGGGTTGGGGCATGTTAAAACCAGCCTCCAGGCAGTGAACTTTCCACCACAGGGAGTCTGAGCACAATGTCCCCTTTCCTTCTTATGCCTCCTAGTCTCCATCTACCCTCCTCCCACGAATATTGTGTCTCTCTCCATTTTTCACCAAACACGCAGGCTGCTAAGCTGGCAGCAATCATACCCAAGAGCAGGTCAGAACTCAAGAGCGGCAGAGCCTCATCAAATCAGACTCGCTGACAAAGGAAACAGCGTCTTGGGCTTCCTACAAAATGTAGGCTAAAATGCCACCCATTTGCTTTCCGACCCATGCACTAAAATATGATTTCCACTGGCTAATTCTTCTGCTAAAACCCCCACAGGCCAGCTCTAATCCTTTTAAATAGCTTTGAGATTTCTGTTCATCTCTCCCAAATCTAGCGATCAAACGAACGAGCGTGAATGAGGAAAAGGAAATAGGGACTCCCTTTAATTTGTATTTGAAGGTGGGGTGTGGAATGCGAAGGCAATGTATGGGGGGGCTGAAGTTGGACCTTTAGCAGGTAGGAATGCAGTTGTGCACCATCTCTACATCAGTCTGACAGCTATATTGTTAAAATACATGGAGACATCATGGAAACATAGGAAGCTGCCTTGCAACAAGTCAAACTCTTGGGCCCATCTGGCTCAGAAGTTCTCCAGGCTAGGGTCTCTCCCAGCCCCACCTGGAGATGCCAGGGATTGAACCTGTGGCCTTCTGCATGCAAAACAGATGTTGTACCACTGTTGTGTGGCCCTTCCACAGTCACAATTACTAACAGTAGGTGGAGTAGGCTGGACTCTGGTTCAGGAATCCAGAGCCCACCACCCAGAGAAGAGCAGATGATGGGGCTGCAGCCAACAGTCCCTTCATCAAGCATCTGATCAGGCATGGGCATGAGGAGCGAAGTCCGAGTCACCAGAACACCCTTTCTTTCTTGAATTCATTTTGTAGGCAGTGGGTGCCTAATCAGGCATGTACATGGTAACAGACGCAACAAATCAATTATCATTCTCTACAACAAAATGGTACTTATCAGGGTAGAAGGAGGAAACCCAACATTATTCTTGCTTTCATGATGCTTCTATGATTTGAGAGAAAGCTGCACACACACATATTATTATTATTATTACTAGTAATTATTGTTTTTAAAACAGGCTTGGCAAACTATTGTTGTCATTTTCGCTTTAACATGAGAGATGCAGACAGAGTTTTAGAGCATGGCATAGCAGGGGGAAGAGAAATGTTCTGTGTGCTTCTCAGCTGAAGTAACACATACTCCAAAAGAGTGTGTTTCTGCGTAAGCATTATGTCTAGGGTCTAAAAGGACCCAGCTGGGCCACTTGCTAATAGTCACTGATACACCTGTCCACCATAGGTTTTGTCTAATCTGCTTAAAACAGACACCTAATTGGAAGATTTGCACAAGTAACTCAGAATCGTATTCTTACAATTATGGGCAAATAAAACTTTCCAGTCAAAGAAGCCTCAGTCCTACAAGCTCCCTGCTGCTTGCTCCCCTTTCCTTCTTAGACAGGTGTTGGCTAGCCAATAAAATTGCATCAGCCACAAAAAAAATCATACTGAATCAACTCTTTGTAATTTAGTACGCAACCCCAAATAATCTCTGGCTCTGCTAATATGTAGGCCTGGTTTGCAGGTCACGTTTAGCCAAACCATGGTTTAGCAGGTGCATGCTATATGTATGTGGGCTCCTGGAAAAGAGATTCTGGCCTCTTTGCTCCATCTCAGCTGTTCTGCTGCTCTGCTAAACTAGGCCAAGTCATGGTGTTTGGCACATCATCCAAAACTGAGCTTGTGTCTTAGCTCTCCTGTAGGCGAAACTCTGGTTGCAGTTTGTAGTCCGCCCACAGAGAGCTAAACCACGAGCTCAGGTTTGGACAACAAGGCATGACATGGCTTAGCTCAGCGCAGCGCAGCATGGGAGGAGCACAATCTCCTGTTCCAGAGTCTGCAAGTTCATGCTAAGGCAGGGGTTGGCAAACTACGGTCCATGGGCCAGATTCGGCCCAGTTGCCCTCTGGATCCGGCCTGCGAATGGTTCTGCAATTGCCACTTGGATCGGTGCGATCGCCTTTTTCAATTTTTTATGGGAGCCACTTTATTGCGTTGCCCCCCCCCCCGGACTACATCTCCCCAGCATGCTGCGAAGTTGCTCAGACTTCTGTGACGCTGGCCAATCCGAAGCCTTAGCAACCTCAGGCCTCCTCTCCATTGGCTGGTTTGACGTGAGCTGGTGGCCAATGGCGACCCTTCCCAGACTCGCTGCTCCAATTGGGGCGAGGCACAGGGCAGGGCGCCTTGTTGACGTCTAGCTCCGAGTAGGGAAGAGGAGAAGCGAAGGGGCGGGAAGAAGCGGGAGCAGAGAGCCTACAAGGAGGGAGAGGGAGGAGGAGGAGGACTCTTCTGTGCTGCTTGGCGGTGACACATTAGCAGCACGATCATGGACACCCCGGGGTAGGGGCCCTTCCTGGCGAGGTGGCTGCAGCCTCTCTGCACAAGCCGAGATCCAGTGCTGGCGGGGCGCCCCCTCCCCAGCCCAGCCCAGTCCACTCCATCTGAACACGGTGAGTGGAAGTATCTCAGCCGCTCTGTCTCCAAGGGAAGGAAGGCATAGGCATGTGCACGTGCACACTCATGCGCAGTCCTACCTGCCACAAGTTCTGAGGGACAATGAACTCCCCCCCCCCCGCAGAAAAAGTCTGCTGACCCCTGTGCTACAGTATTGTGTGCAGACCAGGCCAATGACTGCAGTTTTCTCTCAATTTCTGTTCTCTGCCCTAACCAGGAACCTCCCTGTTTTGCTTAAGGAGTAGGATGGATTTTTATGTTTTAAAAAAATGGGGGAAAGGGAAGTTGTTGCTTCTTTATGCCCAAATCCTAGGTGTGTAACCTGTAGCATGTGGCAGAGACTGATTCAGCCTGCAACCTACCATCTTGGAACAGTGTCTAAAAACTGACCCTATCACTACGACATTCAGCCTAATTGGTGCCTTTTTTTTCCAGCCCCCCGCCCCCGTCTCTCCCCCCCCTCTCCTTTGCTTACAGCGGTACCTCGGGTTACAGACGCTTCAGGTTACAGACTCCACTAATCCAGAAATAGTACCTCGGGTTAAGAACTTTGCTTCAGGATGAGAACAGAAATCGCACGGTGGTGGTGTGGCAGCAGTGGGAGGCCCCATTAGCTAAAGTGGTACCTCAGGTTAAGAACAGTTTCAGGTTAAGAACAGACCTCCAGAACAAATTAAGTTCTTAACCCAAGGGACCACTGTAGTACTTCCGGGTTAGCAGAGTCTGTAACCCAAAGTGTTGGTAACCTGAGGTGTTTGTAACCCGAGGTACCACTGTAATAGATTGCCCAACTGTGAAATTTAGAGCTGTTGCTGGTTGTTTTCTTAATAGAGCAACATGGCCACCCCTTTTGTGTGTGTATGTGTGTGTTTTAATGCAGCGTATGTAACTTGGGCTTTTTACAAGCTCTGCACGTTCCTTTCGTAGCAGCCATCAGGCATTCCAGCAGAATAAAAAAGAGAAAACTATTAGCAGCAGCATCCAAAGTGGTGATCAGCCAATTAGTTTTAATAGTTATGCTTTTAAAAGTTATCAAAACCGAGGCATTAATAGCAGGATTTTTTAAAATATTTTTTTTTGTAAAACGGTTAGGAAATGGGGGCCCTCTACTTTCTGCAAACAGATGCTAGCAACCCTGATGTGAATCATTCTGTTAAATATATCATTAGCCAAACGAAGTTCTGTTAATGACACACGGCACACCCGTCATCCTCTGCCAAACCCCAGTGACCAAAACTTCCTAATTTTAGGTATCTCAGTTTGGCTCACAAGTAGGCAGAAATGGGATTTTGTAAGATTTTCAGCCCCCAGCACTGGTTATCCTGACCTAAGAGAGCTTTGCAGGTTGGGCAACAAAAATTGTACATAAGTATCCTATCTAATTTATGTAGCTAATAGATGTACTTTTTTGCTGTTTATATGTTCATACTACAGTGGTACCTCGGGTTACATATGCTTCAGGTTACATACGCTTCAGGTTACAGACTCCGCTAACCCAGAAACAGTACCTTGGGTTAAGAACTTTGCTTCAGGATGAGAACAGGAATCGTGCTCCAGCAGCACAGCGGCAGCAGGAGGCCCCATTAACTAAAGTGGTGCTTCAGGTTAAGAACAGTTTCAGATTAGGAACCGACCTCCGGAACAAATGAAGTACTTAACCTGAGGTACCACTGTATATGGAAATCTTAAAGAATGCTAATTTTCATGTGTGGTTTAAAAATAACCATTTTTTTTAAAAAAAAATATCCAAGCGATGGAATGGATTCATGGGGGGGGGGGGGCGGTATCTATAACACCACACACATGAAAGAGACACTGACTGGTTCATCTACCACTTCGATCGTAGATTGTTTTAACCTGGTTTTAAAGTTGTATTTTAAATCACTATTTAAATAATAATGATGACCTTACCCCAAAAGGGAAGGTTTGAGAGATGATCACATAGAAAAGAAAGATTCCTAATAAAATTCTTTTCTGCCTCCTTATTATCCCAACCCGCCGGGTTCCAAGAAAGAATGTTAAGACCTTTCTAGATGTTTTCTAGTCATTTACTGTACCTTAGTGGGGAGCGGAAGGTATCATAATTTGCTTTTCTATAATTACCTAGAGTCCCTGGGCTTATCTTGAGCATTTGTTAACAGATAATCCCTTTGATCTCTGGAAAGTAGATTGCTAGGGTAGGAGTTTGAGGCCTTTAACCTGGAGATGTTTCTTCCAATACCTGCATTCAGGCCAATATAATTGATATTCCTTTCTTGTCTATTGTAATGTATCTGGATATTATTTGGATAGGTGACAAAGAACTTTCTGCTCCTTTCCAGACTGTGATTCCCATTCTCTAGCAAGTACAGGTTATTTGGAACACCTTTTAATTTGAAAAGCAGCTCTCTGTCAGCGAACATATGAATTAGAGACCAAAATTTATCCCATACAACAGGATCCTGAAAGGTTAGTTCTGTAGCCAAAATTAAGACAGGTACCGTGTTTTTCGCTCTATAACACGCACCCGACCATAACACGCACGTAGTTTTTAGAGGAGGAAAATCCGTAGGCATGCCACCCGTAGGCATTCCCTCCATAACACGCACAGACATTTCCCCTTACTTTTTAGGAGGAAAAAAGTGAGTGTTATGGTGCAAAAAATACGGTATTTACAACGTAAGCCATTTCCTAAACCCAGGGAAACCCCTACAATGGACTGAATTCCTGCTTGCAGTTCAGATTCTGTTTTAATTATTCTGCTGGGTTTTTTCACTGGTCAGTTATGAACGGCCACCCCCCTCATTCACAAGCTTTCAAAGTATGTTTATTAAGACATCATTTGCTGCCTTTTCTTCCCATCTGTGCTGTAGGGCAGGAAATGTGCAGTGCTCCCCCGAAGCCTTCAGAGTTCCATTGAAAGACGCCAGCTTGTACAAATTAGATTAGGTGGCAGACCCAGATCATTTCCTTGGAATGTAGCAAGTGGATTATTAGCATACTCATCCCTTATCAGTAGCCTTGTATCTGAAGGAGTAAAGAGATGAATGGAAAAGGACTCCTCCAAGTCCGTCTCATGAAGATTCATACTGGCGTAAAAGAAGGTTTCTGAGTTCAAGTTCCAATCTTTAATTGTTTGGTTACTGAATTTGATAGGGGCTTGGTGAACTCAGATCTATCTCCAACTCTCATGTACCTTCAAACCATCAATAAACTCAGTTTCTACTTGGGAGGGTCTTACAGTTAGAATTCCTGTCTCCACTAACCAAACCAGTGTACCAATTATGGCATTCAAAGCCAAATCTTCCTTTTCTAATGTGTCAATTCTACTAAACATACCCTCTGCTGTTTGTTTAAACAGGAGACACTGGTCATGTAAAAGTTCCCACTTTCAGTCTCTGCTGTAGCCAAGTCTTTTATGTCAAGATACTCATTGTGCTGGGACGCGGGTGGCGCTGTGGGTAAAAGCCTCAGCGCCTAGGGCTTGCCGATTGAAAGGTCGGCGGTTCGAATCCCCGCGGTGGGGTGCGCTCCCGTTGCTCGGTCCCAGCGCCTGCCAACCTAGCAGTTTGAAAGCACCCCCGGGTGCAAGTAGATAAATAGGGACCGCTTTCTAGCGGGAAGGTAAACGGCGTTTCCGTGTGCGGCTCTGGTTCGCCAGAGCAGCAATGTCACGCTGGCCACGTGACCCGGAAGTGTCTTCGGACAGCGCTGGCCCCCGGCCTCTTGAGTGAGATGGGCGCACAACCCTAGAGTCTGGCAAGACTGGCCCGTACGGGCAGGGGTACCTTTACCTTTTTACTCATTGTGCATGGATGACACTTTGTTATATGGATTAAGCTGGGGTTGCCTGGGAGCATATATATCTCTTCCTAGCAAGTCCAGATCAACTGACCGGTTAGCTAAGCTTTCATTAAAGGAGTATGTAGCAAAACCTCTTACTTGGGATAAGGCATCTCCAGAGCTGTCCATGTAAGACTTTATTAACTTTATCTTCCCACAACTCCTTTGCCAATACCTGCGTCTTCCTTGCCGAGTCTCAATAGTCCAACACAGATTTCTAGACTAAATCTGGCAAAGGAGTTCTGGGTGCTTTATCTGAAGTACCGTAGGCCTGTGCTTATGTAATAACCATGTGAAAACTGTGGAGTACCCTTCAATCAAGATGGACGTCTAAACATTTCTCATCAGCAACTGAGCCAAAACAGCTGCTCCCCTATCGCCTGTCCTCCATTTAAAATATGTGGTTTGTTAAGCCCACGCAGAAGTAATACAGATAAAAACAGATATGTTCCTTGCTTGCATGTGGCAATTATCATTAACTGCTGGTCCAACTGGCTTTAAAACCATTCAAGATAAAATAAATTAAAACAAGGACAGACCACAGAGCTCAAGACAAGCAGCCTTACTCGACATGAAAAAAGCTGGTTTGAGAGATGCCAGCACCCTGAATAAGCAGCGGATTGCCTTTATCAAGGGTAGCCAACATGGTGCCCATTAACAGCAGGGACAATGATCAGAGATGATGGGAGCTGTAGTATAGCAAGCTCTGGAGAGCACCATGTAGGCAATCCCTAGCCTATATCAATGCAAGAATCTACAAAAAAGCAAATACAACATGCTGGCTAATAACTGTTAGTGAATATATAATGATGTATATATCATACAACACATCTCACAAAATATACAAGTAACTACAAGTAGTTATATAGAGTAGTTACAGTGGTACCTCGGGTTTCAGATGCTTCAAGTTACAGAGGCTTCAGGTTACAGACTCCGTTAACCCAGAAATAGTACCTCGAGTTAAGAACTTTGCTTCAGGATGAGAACAGAAATCGTGCTCTGCGGTGCGGCAGCAGCGGGAGGCCCCATTAGCTAAAGTGGTACCTCAGGTTAAGAACAGTTTCAGGTTAAGAACGGACCTCCAGAACGAATTAAGTTCTTAACCCGAGGTACCGCTGTATATAGATTAGAGTATATGCAGAGTATATACTGTCCTTTTGAGGCTTCTGAGAGACGTCTTCCTTTGAGACTTTTGTGAGACGTCTTCCTTTGAGAGACGGCTTGGCGTTCCTCGCTATTCATTGATTTGTTTGGTTCTTTGTTTGACTCTGATATATATAACTACTTGTAGTTACTTGTATATTTTGTGAGATGTGTTGTATGATATATACATCATTTTGAAGTGGCTTATTCGTATATTTTGAATGACATTAAAGGTAAAGGTAAAGGTACCCCTGCCCGTACGGGCCAGTCTTGACAGACTCTAGGGTTGTGCGCTCATCTCACTCTATAGGCCGGGAGCCAGCGCTGTCCGCAGACACTTCCGGGTCACGTGGCCAGCGTGACAAGCTGCATCTGGCGAGCCAGCGCAGCACACGGAACGCTGTTTACCTTCCTGCTGGTAAGCGGTCCCTATTTATCTACTTGCACCCGGGGGTGCTTTCGAACTGCTAGGTTGGCAGGCGCTGGGACTGAACGACCAGAGCGCACCCCGCCGCGGGGATTCGAACCGCCGACCTTTTGATCGGCAAGTCCTAGGCGCTGAGGCTTTAACCCACAGCGCCACCCGCGTCCCTTGAATGACATTACAACCAATTATATATTCACTAACAGTTATTAGCCAGCATGTTGAATTTGCATCTTTGTAGATTGTTACATGTTGCAACACAGGGGTCTGTGTTTGTTCAGATTACAGTGGATGCTCGGGTTGCGAACGTGATCCGTGCGGGATGCACGTTCACAACCCGCAGCGGCGCCTCTGCGCATGTGCGACCTCCGAAACCCAGAAGTAACCCGTTCCGGTACTTCCAGGTTTCGGAGCGTCCGTAACCTGAAAAAACGCAACCTGAAGCATCTGTAACCAGAGGTATGGCTGTATTATATCAATGCAAGGCCTGTATCAGTGTTTCCCTTCTAAATTATTACAGTCTTGTGCAACACGGATCCTAGTTGCTGGTGTTTCTTTGTTAAAGAGAATAGCTCAGTTGCTAGGAAATATTTCTTCCCCCAAGGAATGAATGACAAGTGAGACCGCATAGTTCTTGCTGGGTACAGGATGGTCTTGTGTTCTTTGGGTGCAAAAATACATGCAGCACAGACTACATATATCTACGTACCACTCCAAGTGCTTTCTTAACTTCCTCGCTCTCCCCTTCCTGCCCCCCTCCCCAAAATGCTATTGCAAATTGACACCAGCTGCACTTCATGGCTTTTTGCCTGGTTGCTTTTCTCAGACCCTCTACCAGATCATTTTCCCAAGGAAGGGGAAAAACGATAAAGCAAAGCGCCACTTGGCATACGGACAACCTCCCACATCGGAGGAAGCAACGGTGCCACAAGGTTCTGCTCCCAAGAACAAAAGCCCACTTCTAAGCCGGGGAAATTTTGTTGAGGATCCCAGCAGAGGAAACCACCAGTTTAAAAGGACATAGCTCAGCAGTAGAGCACCTGTGTTCCATCCCTGGCATTCTCCAGGTAAGCCTGGGAATGCACACCATCTGAAATACTGTGCAGAGAACACTGAGCTAGGCAGACCAATGGCCTCACTCAAGAGACACAAAAAGCTTGAAAATCTCTCGCTGCTGTTTACAAGAAGCTACAGTGGTTTTCGTGGCAAACATCTGGATTATTTTGCTTCATTTCTGTTGCTAATGCCTTATCGTTTCATCTTGTGTTCCCTACTTTGAACCCTGGAGAAGTGTCTCACGAGTAAGTGTGACTTATTTACTTGGTGCTTTCTGGTGAGCATCACTATGCACAATGTTTGAGATTTTTAAGTACCATTATTAGTAGCACGGCAATTGAATTTATGACTCCACCTTTCTATAAAAGTACAAAAGGCATCTTACACAAAATCCAAAATGAATTTTTGGATTTGACTCTGATAAATTAAAATGCTTTTGGAATCCTTAAATATTTCTACCCTCTGAAAGACTTCAGGGAGAGGCAGAAGCTAAATGCATGAGTTGGCCAACAGAGTATTTATTTTAAATTGTGTAGGATACCACTGGGGAGTTCTGATTAAATACCACCGCTTACAGGCAGTATACTGGATGGCAACCTCTAGTGGAGTCAACTTGAGGAGTGACAGTTCCTTTGGGATAAGAAAATCAAAAGCCTTTTCGGTGAAATGTTTATGAAACACAGACGAGGTTTTTCGCAGCAGAAAAGTGAATGAAGGTCGACATGCATGTAAGTTGCCTGCCTTCCCTGTATGAATTGTTTGTGACACGCTAAGGGATAAAAAATGGCTTAGGGAATATTTCAGTTACATAGCTGTATTTGCTCTCTTTTTGGGTGGGTGGGGGTTCACGCAACACTTTTCTTTTTTTTCAAGAACGAATATTCTTCCAGATCAGTTACCGTGTCTCTTGTAAAGTGATGGAGTTTGCAGGGGGGAAGAACAGGATAATTTTTCAAGTGTTAGCAAGGAAGCGCATTGTGCCAAATGTGAAGAGTTACTCCAACCACAATGAAAACAGAGAGGGCCTAATATAGATTAGATTAGACCACTGCTAGGAGCTCCCAGCCTCTGTGGTTACTTGCCCAGAAATTTAGCTGGTGTTTACTTTGAGAAAACTGAAACTGGGAGCAGCCAGAGCAAAATGCCTGGTTGGCTGATTAAAGTTAAGTATCCTTTCCTTCCTGCCGATGCCTGTAGAAGCCCACGGAGTATTGATCTAAGCCTTCAGATGAAGTTTAGACAGAGCTCCCCACCACTTATCAATGCTGGTGGGAAGCAGGGAAACAAAACCACCAGGTTTCACACTGGTCTTCCAATAATTTGGTTGTTATTCTTTAAAATGCATGCCAACATTCGTAGGAAAGGGATGGGGGTCGTGATAGACGGAGGTACTGCTTGTATTTTAAGAGATCAGCATGAGGCTTTTCTTACAATTGCTGGACAACAGAGTTTATCGCCTTCATGGTAATACTTGGGGAAACTCTTGTAGCACAATGCTAGGCAGGTCTACT